AAACTGGGTGTGGAGGGGGGTAATGATTGGGTGAAGAAAGGCGAGGAGGAGGGCAGGAGGGAAAGAAAAAAGGAGGTGGGGGGGGAGGACTGTTGTGTTGTGTAGGGTCTAGAACCCACAAATCAAGCAGTGATTGGTCCCTTCACTCAGCGTCTCTGGAATGTTCCACTCTAGCACCTGCAGGGAGCGGGAAACAAGTCCTGCCAAGCACTGCAGGAATTCAAGGGGGGAGGGAGGGAGGGTAGAGGAGGTGGCTATTTTCTGCATCAGCTGGTAATCAGATTAAAATTAATTATGAAATATGGAAAGTAAATATCTGATAAAATAGGGCAAACTATCTGATTAGACTAAATAATACGGCGACACTGAGTACTCGTAGATGTAAGAGTGAGTGGTCAAGTGACAGGCAAAGATTCTTTGGGTTTATTTGACAGAAGTCAGTGCATTTTCCTGTTATTCCAGATCATTTCATGAGCACAAACCTTATACTTCTGCAACTGCAACCAGAACTCACAAAAGTTATTAACAAATCCTAATTTATCGACATTATAAATTGGAACCTATGGAACTGGATTCGACCAAATGACAAAAACGTTGTTTAATTTTTCGTGTGTGGGTGTCGGGGTTGGGTTTTTGTTTGAGAATGATGAGCTTTTTTCGGAGAAAAAAAATCTGAATTCTGAGGTTGAATCAGAGTATGATTTAAGTTAAAAATTTAGAAACAAAAGTCGTAATTCTGAGAGAAAACACGGTAATTTTCAAGTTTTCGTCCAGAATTCTGAAATTTAAATAAAAATTCTGGAGGACAGTAAGAACAATGAGGAGTCAGACTTCTGACTTTTCTCAAAATTCAGAAAAAAAACTTCACGACCCAAAAATGCTTTTACTCAGAATTCTTCAGTAAGTAAAACGTTTTCTTTCAAGCATGACTCAGATCACCAAAGTCAAAAATGTTCTTTATGCCAGAATAAATACATAAAATTGTAAATTTAACAACACCTAAGAGTTTCATCATCTCATCTGTCAGCAGGCTGAGACTCAGTGGTCCATACAAATGTGCTCAGCTGGGTCAAAACAAATCTAAAGAGTTGATTTCTCGATGATTTCCAAATCACTTGCTCTAGTTTTTCTGGACTCCCTGCTTTCAGTCCCATCATAACGCCTCCCCTCTCCTCACCATTCTTCCTCACTCCTGTGGGATGTTTCCCTTGTGCCAACAGTAGCGTCAGTTCTTACAAACCAGAAACCATGCAGAAGCTCCAACAGAAGGTCCTTCTCTCTCTATGTGTTCACTAAGTGGTAAAATAATTTATAAATACACCAACCAGTCTACTTAAACTACATAAGCTAGCAAACCAAAACCAATGTTACAACTCAAGCCGCTACCAGACGTACTTCTTTTGACTGACAGCATAACGGACAGGTGTAGACACCGTGACCAATCACCCATTGGTTAGTGAAGTGTCCTTTTGAAGCCTCGAGCTGAGTGTGCCTCAAAAACATGTCAGAATGTGTGACAACAGCTAAAATCCCCCTTAAGTTTAACTTTAGGTGGCTAAAGCATAATTATGGTTAACATCGGCCGTGCCTGAAATAATTCACTCATGACTTCATTTGCAAAATATTTAAAATTTCAGACAGGATTCATTTTCTTGGCACTGTTGGTTTTATCATTGCAGACACACAGTGATAAGTCAGATAAGTAAATGAATGCCGACATGAACTTTTGTCATAAATACTATACCAAGTTAACGACACCTTTAAGTGCACTATAGGTTAAAGCAACACTTGCTAAAAGTTTGGACAGCACTTCAAAATGGCCAACTCACTATATGGTGAGTAGGATCACACAGAAGCTGTAGCCTTGTTTGTATTCTACCTTGATGCGAATCTTGTGTTGCATCAAATCCTTTGCACTTGTTATTTTTCCTTTCAGAATATCTACTGCTACTATATTATACAACTACAACATGCTAACTTATACTAGTACTACATATGCCCAGATAAGATTCCAAATAACTAAGAGTTGGGCTTCTGCAAGTAATGCATTCACCCTAAACTTGGGCTATCTTCTCGCTCTGTGCCATTGAGAGATAAACAAGTGTTTGCTTTTATCTGATGACGCTGACATCACCTGACAAACACCTTCCTGCACTCAGTGGTGCAGAGACAGGAATGAACTTCATATTTTAATTCATCCCAAAACAAACTTTAGCACGCACTACCACAGCGGTAGACTTAGCTACCATGGTTATGAAAGGCAAGACCACCCAATGAAGTCATCTGTCACTCACTCAGTCACCAACTCACACACACACACATACACAACACAAAACAACAGGGAGGCGGGAAGTGGGTGGAGGAGTCAATTCAAAGTCAGTGCAGCTCCATCAGCTGATTCCTGTTGGGATACAGGAGGCTTTCTGCCGCTGAATCACTTTAATGTCAGTCGGTCTTTGCTGAAGCACAACCTGAGCGGCATTTCCTGCGACTCCCTCAGCTGGGAGAGCTCAAGATCAAACTGCATGTAATTACTGCGTTATAGCACTTTTTTCCTTTTTTACTTCGTCCTTCTACTAAAGACAGTGAGCAAACCTTTAGAGGCCAGCCTGATCCTCTCCAGCATGACAAAGTCAAACACATTTTAAATGCTCCTGCCCAGCGATATCTACACAATGATCTGATATTTTGTCAGTTGTGGAGACTATGTGCTGTATTTTCAATGGCTTCCCCAGAGAAAAGACCAATTTTGACCTCTGACATCATCAAACAACGCCGCTGCTCTTTCTTATTCTAATTTTTATTGTAATGGTTTCGGCGCTTCATTCACAGCTTAATCAGCTTCTTTACAGATGACTGGTGTGAACCTGAGTAAACTATCATTTCCACTTCTGTTCATTTGATTGTTTGCTTTTCCACCAATGTCAAGAAGATGGAATTAAGGAATGCAAGACCCCAACTTCTCATTTACTCCTGTAGGACATACAGCCCTGTATCCAGCTTTAGACCAACGAATTTCTAAGGATTTCCAACTGGTTTTTAACAGGTTTATGCAGCTGTGAGATAAGAAAATTATCTCACCTTATGAAGGATACCACTTCTTCCCACATTTCCTCCATTTATAAGGAGTTCTAAATGTTTAATATCTAGTTGTTTAAGCAATATGATGCAACTGGAAGGTTATTATGGTTTTTATCTGTGTTGATATCACTTCATGTGTTACAAAAATGCAAAACACATCTGTAAAACTGCTGATAAATCATAGAGATACACTGATTGTTAAATGTTTACATATCTTGATATTTAAAGCAGCATTGTGTTGTTTTATTTTGCTGTTAATCCTGTTTGGTACAGTATGTGTTCCTTTCTGTAGCAAGAGGACAACAACGAAACAGCTATTTTGACGTCTATAAGCTCTTCACCTGTCTTTGAACTTTTAGCCCCCACAACATTTCCACCACACACCAGATAAACATAACTGTATGGATAAGTGCACACCATAATCTAATTTTAAAACAGTAAACGAACGCAGTAGAGATGCAGTCCTAAATACTGCACAATACTGAACACAAAAATAATTATACTAGAAGTATTTTTAAGACGTTTGTAACTTTAGGTATTTTACAGGAGATACAAATCAAATTTTAAATAGTGCATAACTTAGTAGAGTAACAAAAAAACCTTTACATCGTACGTTGTAGGTATGCTGTAGTTTTAGGGGTGCGGGCCATACCATGTAGTGGATTAACCTTGGGGGTTGTTTTTTTTTACACTTTTATTATGCATTAAATAGGTGTGCACCATGGATGTTTGACAGGGCGTGGAACGATGTGTTATAAGATCACTTGGGCCCAAAGCCTGCAGTTTTTGCTGTTTAATTTTTCTTGTAAGCAGAAAAGAGAGAGAGCTGTCCTCATCACATTTTTATATTTAATATAAGAGGACAACTGAATAGTAAAGCATTAATGATGCACAGAAATTTAATGCATAAGTAAATGTAAAAAGGCAAGGTTAAAAGATTAGAAAATACCCCCCCACACACACACACACACACTGCAGTTTCAGATAAAATGCACTTCAGCTATTTATTTGTACTATTTGTATTTATATGTTATATTTCTATTGTATACATTAACCGGCATCTGTTGGTGGACAGCAAAGAAAGAATTTCATTGCACAAAGAAAAGCCTTTTCTCTTGTGACACGTGACAATAAACACTTTGAATCTTTGAATCTTGAATATAATTTTCCATTCTCCTCTAGAGGAATTGCACCCTATTTTGCGAACCTTATTATAAAGTGCAACTGAAATGATTAATAAACAGAAACAAAGTGGGCCTGAAGTACCAAAGCCCTCCACTATTTTCAATCCCCTCTGCAGAACCTCATCAAGTGAGCAGAAAGGTGTGGCTTGGAAAGGCACGCAGGGCTGATATCCTCCTAATTCTTAATATTCATCAGCGGGGCGGGCTTTGAATTGCAAATAACTGCGAGCGGGCCCACTCAAATATGAACTGGGTTTTTTTTTTCGATGCAAAAATGTGGACTCCAGCTCAAAGCTTAAAAAAGGGACCCACATACCGTGCAGTGTCTGGCACAAACGGTGCAACAAGCTCGTATGCAAATGTTATTTACTTTAAATGACAATAACAAATAGCACTGAAAGACTGACTCTATTTAATAAATACAGTTTTTTAGAGAAAATATAATAGAAATGTATAAAAGTATCACCATATGCCTCAGGCAGAGGCCATGCACAGCATGGATGACCTGCGTGTCGGCGATGTATGACAGTAACTTTGTAACACTGTAAGTCAAGCAGCTATCACACTTGTTTTTAACGAGACACCAAGCTCCCCATTTTGGTCACAGCTCAGCTGCTCTTTCACGAAACACAGCTCCATCTAAATCGGGTGTTTAAGAGTTTCATCTGCGCTAAATAAACCAAGCGGGGATCCTCTCCACCTGAGGAAGTGTCACAGTAAACGAAAGGGACTTACTCCGAGTGCAGACCTCGCCGCGAAGGTCAGCGCGATCACACAAATCCTGCAAAACAAAAATAAGTCTTTTAGTTATTTCCCTCCGAACTTATTAGTCGACAGGTACAGCAGCGGCAGAGGCAGCCTGCAAAGCCGAAAATTAACTTTGCAGAAATACGTTTACAGAGCCGTTTTAAAAAGAAATCAAAAAATAAACCCTTACAGGACTTTCATATTGATCCGACTGGCGGAAGGCGGGGACCACAGGTAGAGCTCGATCCCCTTATCTTCACCAAAAAGGCACCGCTTCAAACGCGCTCATCGACGGCTTCAAAAAACCCCTGTCATCTACCCGGAGACAGAGAGAGAGGGAGAGAAGCAGTCCTACTGACCCCGATTTTAACACATAAAGCTCCAAGCATTAACAGCCAGCCAGCGTTGAAATCACACGTTTTGTTGGCGATTTCTTTCATAAAAATCAGAGCTTGTCCAACTCACCCAAGTTTCAGCGGTGCAGTCGCTGCTGCGCACTTCGTACTGGTGCGCTTCAACTCAGCAGCCTCAGCGAAGAGGAGGGGCCAGCACATGCCTCCATGCCTCTAACTGCCACCGAGGTACCCCACATACCAAGTACGGTTCGGACCAGCAAAGGAGGCACAGCGGTGTAAAGCAAGTCTGCAGTCCAGGTTTTAATCAGTGAAAAAGCAACAACATACAGAAGTTCTTTCAGAGACTACAAAGACTTTTATTCCACATAAAAACAAAACCCCACCGTTGTTAGCGCTCAGGTGGTTACTGAAGTTTAAAATGACCTTAGGACACTTGATGCAAAATTAGTCCCCAAAGAATCAACATGATGGATCTTAAAATTCATAACTGTGTTTTCATACCATTCACCCAAACACCCTCCTTATGATACATTTAAAAACTTTAACCTCAGATCAGTGTTAGGGATCACGTGTACTTTGCCCTGATCTCTGCTAATGCATAAAACTTCTTGAATTAAGCAGAGTACTCTTTAAGCTTTGCAACACCGTGTTCTCCCTAGAGGGGCTATAAAATCCTTTATTACAGTGCATTATCTTAAATTTTTGTGTCTTGTGTTTCTGGCATAGACTTTTCTGCAGCTTGTTTAGCACCACAGGATCCTAACTAGGTCCTCTTCAGTTTTGGACTTGCTATATAGTTTTTATTCACATGTTTATTTGCTACAGTCCCAATTTCAATCCTAACCATAAACCCGGTAGCACTACAGTTATAACCTTGCACTATAATATTACTAAGGTACTTCATCAAATTTGATTTCAGAATTTTTAGCAAACTTACTAGTGTAGAGCTTTCAAAGTTTTTAGAAAGTTACACAACGTATTTCATGTTTTAAGATGAGAACATGTTAAGTCCAACTTGTGATTAGATGACTTTTAAATCATACAAAAATGCAAGAATCACTTCAACTGTGATGCTTTAAAAATTCACAATAAAATCCTCCCAAAAAGTGAAGCTTTAAATTATTCCACTGCAGGTCTTGATTCTGGTTTCTTTCACTCCAGTGATTGTAACATAGATAGTGTAATATTGCAAAGGTTGGATGCTGAGATGATTGCTTACTGTGATTATGTGTGCTTATCAGTCCCAGTGTGTGCACATACAGTTTGATCACACAGTAACTTCAGCAGCATGTGTTCATATAAGTTCATGCAACAGTCTTTATGCTTCACACCACATTTAGAGGAAGACGAGACAAACGAGACAACAGGTACGTTTTTATAGGACGGAGGTTTTATTCTGTACTATTCTACTAGCAGCTTTCCTTCGTTGGGAGAAAGTGACCTGTAATAAAGTGGCAGGAATGTAACGTGCCGGGGCCTAAGGAAAAGAAAAGAAAAGGTTTAAAGTCAAACTCACAGCCTCGAGCGGTGGTCTGGAGTCAGGAGAAAGAATATCCATCCGCGAGGTTCAAACATAATGATTATTTACAGCATACTTTAACACGCGATACACTTTTGGGCATTTGGACCTTCGTGGCTCACACTTACGACCAGATCTTGTTTCGCAAATCACCCCAGATTTATTTTAATTAATTATCTGTCTTGGGGAAGGTGCACATCCCTGATATCACTGCGCACCGCTTGTGGAAAGTAGATCCGGTGGGCAGGTTTACGAGTTCAGAAAAAGTGAGAGAGAGGGAACTGCAGAGACGCACGGTGCCAGAGCCAGGACCACTGGGAGTCTCTGCAAGCGCAACAACCGCCGACACGCCGAGAAGAAGAACGAGTTTCTTTATTTCTTTTCCACAGTGTGCGTGGGGGGAGCAGGGCTATGACACGCGTATAAAGAGCCCCAAAGTACAGTGCTAACGCAGGCGGATCTTTGTTTTATTCTCCCCAAAGATGAGTAAAGACTCAAAGTGCCTGCGACAGCTCGGTGCGACTCTGCTACTAGTCCTGTTCGCCGGGGTGCAGCGATCCGACTCTGCGGTAAGTACGCTTCCAGTTCCTTGCACTGATTTTTCCCCCGCTGCAGGAGAACCTGCAGAGACCCACCGGCTCCCTCAGCGAGCGAGTAAAGTTTCTAAAATAGAGAGTCTGCTTATAACAGTGCTTCTGCTCTAATAATAATGATCCCGGTTGCCGTTTCCGTTTTACTTGCAAATAAAAACCATGTAATTACACCAATGATACACCTCCGCGCTCAGCTTTCATGGCTTTTTGACTGCTAGGATCACCTTCGCAGGACCTGCAGATTTCTTGGTGGGAGATCGGACGAAGTTTCTGTCCTGCCCCCTTCGTGCGCATCTTCGCGTTTCGCGTACCTGCGGTTATTTTTTTTCCGCCCTGTGTCTGTATTTTGTTCCTATTCTCGCGTCAAGAACTCGGACGGATTCTAAACTCGGCGTGTGGAGGGAAAGCGGCGCGCCGATGCTTCCCTTAAGAGCCCGCTTGTGTTCGGATTGAACCTCGAACAGCGGGGCTGCTGTTCAGTCTTTTGTGCGTAATTTTGTTTTGGTGTCCTGAAAGAGGGAACTGTGCGTTTTTCTCTCCAGGTGTGGCAGGTGTGCTTTAAGTTGACAGCAGCTGCTTCAGACTCACACTGAAGTGTAGAGAAATGAAACCCATATTTAGTGCAGCTGATTAGTCTTTGCATTTGAGAGATGATTCAGAAACAGCAACACAGGTGGGGAAGTGTATGAGCGCGCTCGCACTTTCCTCTTTCGCCCTCCACATCTGTTTAAACTAGTGCTCCTCATCCTCAGCTGTAGATCTCTAACATGTCGGGATGCCGATGCATCACCAAATCAGTGCAAGTGTCTCTCACTCAGGCTCCTCATATAAATTTCATGAATATTCCCTCGTCATTAATTATAATGAGTCGTGGCTGCACGCCCACCACACACCAGGCGTGTCCAATCAGGTCTGCCAATCAGGTCTGTTTGCCGTTCTGTAAGTCCTCTAACACAGCTATTCGTGGTATGGTGGGTTTTTCATGTTTTTCAAATTATGCAGGAGACATTTGTGTGTTTGAAGATTTATGGATTAGATTCAGTGTTTGATGGCAACTGGAACACTGAACAGAGTATGAGCATCCTGTGAAATAACAAAAAACAGCACAGGATCAGGTCTAAGACTAAAAAATCAGCATTTGAGAGTTGAGAGTTGTCTTGCTCAGAGTTTATAAAGTGATTAGAGATGAAGAATAAATCAACAGATAGAAGCTCTTTCCTCTCCTTCAGCTGTAATATGTCAAAACTATGGTTTGACCTCTTCCCTGCTTTGCTTGAAGTTGTCTCGGTATGACAGAGATTAAGTTTACTGCAATATTTCACCAAGGCCATGAAAGTTTATCAAGACCTGAAGTAAACTGTTAAAAGGGTGGAAAAAAGAGAAAATGAACTAAAAACGTATAACTTTAATTAACATAGTTACTTGCTATATTAACGGTTTTTTTGACATTTAAGCGTAATGATACACAAAAAAGTCACTGAACTTTCACAAATGGTCATTAATGTCTCAATAGATAATAGTAAATTAGCTGTGTGTTTTGGAGCATTCCTTTAATTTAGTGTGAAAGAAGACTCTTTAGGGAATCAAAGTTCCCCTTTCTCCATTAAAGCGCTCATTGAGTCCCCCTAGTGGAGACAGTCTGTCCTGATGTCACTGCTAGCACAAGAGATTGAAAGAAATGATCTTTTATGGCATGTCTTTGTCTAAATTTCCAAACTTGCG